CTTGAGGAGTTGACACTTTGGTTGACTGTTAGGCTCTCGCTTGCTTGTTGGGCTACAAGAAGATGACAGAGTTAGTTTTGAAAGGTGCCTTTGTCGGGCCTTAGATGTAGGCCGTGAGGCTCGCAATCAAAACTAACTAAGTGTTGAGGCGTGCCACTGCCATCTTTGTATAACAGATGTAAAATGAGTGTATTTAAGCCGATTACTTGCGCCCTAAGTTATTCTGACTTTCATCATCAAATGATTGTCATGAATGAGGTTAAGTCCATGTTAAGTTCTTTTCTATGCCCTGAGATTAAGGATTTTTGTTTATCTTGTATGCTTTTAAAGGGGAGGGGTTCAGATTTGATGAAGGCATCAGTTTCATTTACTTTTACGATAGTAAAAGTGCTAAGTGAACCGGATCTGAGAGTTAATAGAACTTTGGATCATCAGAAGATCGAAAATGACTTGCATATATACCGATGGATACATTATAACACCATATCTATTAATGGAAAGGAAAAAACAAAGAGAGTCGGGCAAGATTTCACCTTGTCGGGCAAGGTTAAAGCGTCTTGTAATCTCTTTTCTTTGTAGTGAGTAATAAAGAGGGATGAGGGGTAAACGAGTTTACGCAAGAAAATCAATATTACAACATTTGGGGAAGTTAGCAGAGCTTTTACATAGACAAAAGATGTCCTTTTATGGGAAATCTAAGGCTAAAAGGGTGCAAAATCTGGACAAAACGCAGCTTTCTGAGTATTAGCTTGAATGAGAGATAAGTTGTATGTTTGTTTGTTTGATTGGTCAAGTGTCCTTGTCTCTGGGCCTTCTTTCTCATTTTATAGACAAATTAACCCAACTGTGTTGTTTCTGTTCTTCCCCAAAAGTAACTGAAGGGTAATGAATCATCAGCATTTTTACATGTTCTGCCATCCAAAAGTTAGGCCGGAAGTAGGTGGATTTCCATTGGTTGTCACTTCTCTTGTAAGCACTTAGTCTTTGCATTTAATGAGGGCCGTCATTTTGTCTTGAGATGGATGACCTGGGCTTGACTCTAGGCTTCGGGCAGACCTTCTTTATTAAGCTCATTTGGGCTTCATTCGCTTTAAAGCCTAAAGTTTAAATATTAACCTAAACAGAAGTGTCTTGTCAAAAAGCTTCAAACTTATATTTGCATTAGTGGAAGCAAATTGTTAATAATTTATCAAAAGTGAAAGTTAGTGATAGTAAGTTGTTAGGTATAGAAGACTAACTTACAAAGAGTAATTGTGCAAAGGTTATAGCGTGAAAAAAAATAAAGATTAAAGAGTCTGTCCAGGAAGAGACTGCAAAATTGTTACATTTTCTGATTATGCATATGAAATTAGCTTGTCTAAGTAAAGGGAAAAATTATAGAATTTATACTTAGAATGGGTTTATTTATTTATTTATGAAGGATGTGGGTTACAGGTGTTTATAGATTCAAACTTTACCCAAGGGATCGTGTTACAGACTATGAAGTCCCAATCAAAATCTATAGCACTTGAACCTATGGACATTTGGACTTGCTATGGATATTGAATCTCGCATTTTTGGAACTTATTGCACTGTATGTTGCTCTGTGAACATTTTAATTTCGTCTTTAATACCACAGTTATGCAGTGAATAGTGATTGTCAACATTCCAAAATTGTCTAGCTACTTTAACTATCATGCTAGATTTAATAAACTGCTCTTGTCTGTGCTTACAAAGAGTAGATGACTAGGCATTTGTTTTTATTAAGCATTAGTTATTGCTCAACCTTAGAAATTATGTGGATAAAAATGTCTTCATAACGTCTTGATTTCTAACCTTAGAATACGAATATTGAATTTACATTCGACATAGATTGAAGATCTACATAAGCTGCAATATCTTTTCATCCACTAGTGACTAAACCTATACAGGGATAGCATAACTGTTTTAGTTTGTGATTCTGCCTATGAAATTAGCTAGACTAAGAATAGGGATTTATGGGGGGGGGGGGGATATTTCATTTATTTTTAGTGTGGGGGCTTTAGAATCACACTCTGCTCGAAAAATCAAGTGTTACATATGTTAGATCCCATATCGCCCAGGGGAGTGATCCTTATATGTATATTCTCATCCCTACCTAGCACGAGGCCTTTTGGGAGCTCACTAGCTTCGGGTTCCATAAGAACTCCGAAGTTAAGCGAGTAGCTCGCGAGAGCACTCCCATGATGGGTGACCCATTGGGAAGTTCTCGTGTGAGTTCCCCAAAAACAAAACCGTGAGGGCATAATTGGGGCCCAAAACGGATAATATTGTGCTACAGTGGTGGAACGGGCCCGGGATGTGATGGACCCCAGGCCGAGATGTGACAAATTGGTATCAAAGCTTAACCTTGGCCGTGGTGTGCCCACGAAGACGTCAAACCCCTAAGGAGAGTGGATTGCTAGATCCCACATCACCGTATATTCCCATCTCTACCTAGCACGAGGCATTTTGGGAGCTCACTAGCTTCGAGTTTCATAGGAACTCCGAAGTTAAGCGAGTAGTGCGCGAGAACACTCCCATGAGCCTACTGGGAAGTATCGTGTGAGTTCCCAAAAACAAAACCGTGATGGCATAATCGGGGCCCAAAGTGGACAATATCGTGCTATGGTGGTGGAACAGGCCCGAAATGTGGTAGACCCCGGACCAGGATATGACAACATATACTATGAAGTCCTAATAAAAATATAGCACTTGAATCTGTTGACATGAGTTGTTGTCGTTGACTCTTTGGAAGAAAGCATCCATTATGAAGTTGGCACATTTTTGAAGGGAGTTCAGTTTGCCTGAGAAATTGAATGTTTTGCTGCTTAAGCACGCCGACATATTCTTTGTCTCAAATTAGTACCAGAACCATACTGTCATTCTTAAAGAAGCTTATAATGGGCAAGAACTGGTTGATAAGGATCCATTTGTTGTTGTGAAGGAGAAGTTTGGGGAACTTATGCAGGAGGGGCTTCATGAATATAACCGTCGACGTCATTTGGTAAATCTAGAAAAGAAGAAAAAAAGAGGCATGGTTTTAGGTAGATCAAATGAAGGCAAGGACATGAGCTCTGAGATCTCTGACCCCGATGATCAAGGAGACAGAGGAGGGTTGTTTGATCTAGAAGAACGAAAGCGATTCTATAAAGTTCTCTTTGATGACGGTGCCCCATGACAATATCATTTGGCAAGGAAGGAACGAAACTTATCCAACCTCTTGGCAAAGAGGAGGAATCAATATCACCAGAAGATGATGTAGAAAAGCAAGCCTACTCAGGCCTGACTCCTAGTCTTAATTGCCTCAAGTCAGAAATACCATCAACGTCTATTCATCTGGTTGACATTGTATATAGCCACTGTTTTACAATCCCTCTTCATAATGGAGATTGCAATCAGATGCAATATCAAAGAGCCATGACAGTGTTTTCTATGTTCCCTGCATTGTGGGTTTGCAATGCGGACTTGGTCATATAGATATTGTAATATAACAAGTTTTGCTTTATTGTGCTGGCCTTGTGATCTACATTGTGAGTTTGAAATTTATTTATTATGTTTGTCACTTAGGTGGAGTCTAGTATTGGGTTTTTGTTAAAAAAATATATTATTGTGGGTTTTGTGTTAAAAAAAAAAAATTGAATTTGAAGGGATAAAATCACATTTTTAGTATATTATTGTTATTGTGGAAAAACCAGTAGCGCAACATCAAAATGTATACATGTGCGCAATTTGTTAAAAATTTAACTGTGCAATTGAAAAAAATAGGCAGTTTTTTTAATTAATTAATTAATTAATTTTTATAAATTATTTTCCAAATTACTCTTTTTAATTGTAAAAAATGGGTGGTGCAATTGGAAAAGAGTCCTTAGGCCTCGTTTGGCAGCTCAGACAGTACTGACTATTTTAGTCAGATAGAATAAATAGTCATCGGATAGTACTGACTAAATTAGTCGGACGTTTGGTGCAATATCGGACTAATAACCGCATTATTTATAATGTGTTCTCAATAATGTGCTGGATTATAGAACTTGAAACTATAATTGATGATTAATGGAAACGTTGCTAAACATCACAAGTTAAAACATCAACAAAATTAAAATTGTTAATTTAGTTTTTTTTTTCTCTCAATTATCAAACCCAAATTTCAATCCAACCCAACGAAACTCAATTGCGAGAGAATTGTTGAGGAAGTACACCAAGCCAGTGAGAACAGCAAACATGAGCGCAATTCCAGAAGTTCAGCTCCACTCCTAAGTCCCCCACTCGATTACAGTTGTCTAACTGTTGCAGAGGGAATTGGATTGGACAAATAGATAGGAATAAAGAAGTAAAATTTTAATATCATTCAACGAAATTGTTCATAATTTTCGTCATCCAACCAAAACCAAAATTGGGGAAAACGAAAAGGGGTTGGGTTTGGGTTTGGGCGAAGCAGATAGAGAAGAAGAAGAAATTTGCAGGTGGGGTTGGATGGCAAAATTGGGGAAAACGAAAAGGATTGGGTTTGGGCGGAACTAGATAGAGAAGAAGAAGAAATTTGGTTTGGGCAGGAACAGATAGAGAAGAAGAAGAAATTTGCAGGTGGGATTGGATGGCAAAATTGGGGAAAACGAAAAGGATTGGGTTTGGACGGAACAGATAGAGAAGAAGAAGAAATTTGCAGGTGGGATTGGAAAGCAAAATTGGGGAAAACGAAAGCTCTTGGGTTTAGGCGGAACAAAGAGAGAAGAAGAAATTTGCAGGTGAGGTTGGATAAAGAAATTGGGGAAAACGAACATGGGTTGGTTTTGGCAGGAGTAGGTAGAGGATGAGGAGGAGGAGAAGAAGACACAGGACGCAATGCGGGAAGGAGAGAGCGGAGGAAGCGAAACTACCCGACTAATAAATACAGGAGATTTTGGAGGATAATTTAGCAGGGCATACATTGTATAAAACGTGTAGGGCCAATTTAATTAATCCGGGTATTATTTAGTACAAAATTGCACCGAACATCTTCATTCGTACTATTTATCCTATCCGGTGTGTTCTACAGGCTGCCAAACGAGGCCTTACAGTTCTCTCTTCTTTCTCGCCCTCTCTCAGCCGGTCCCTCTCGCTCCTCTCGCTCCTCTCTCTCTCTCTCTCGCTCCGTCTCGCTCTTCTCTCTCACTCCGTTAGACGAAGACAAAGACGAAGGAAGACGGCAGCCACCACCCACCCATCTGCTACTCCTCCGCTCCAACCTCCGCTGGAATTCCTCACCGTTTCCTCGATTCCGAAGGTCCCTTCACACCTCTCTCTCAATGTTTTGCTTTTCGCTTTAATCGTTGAACATATGATAAATAGGGTTTTATTTGTTGAGTGTTGCCGGAATTTGGTGTTAATTTAAGTGTAATTTAAGTTTCTGTGCAAATATTAGAGCTCCTTAAACCCTAAAATAGAGGATGGCAAATTTATTATGATGCATCTTTATAGCAAATTTATGGCTCTATAGTCTGCCGATCCGTTAACATATTCGATTTTGAACCTTTTGAAGTACCCCAATATCTAAATATAATTCAATTTCTCATCTATAATTATGAAACTTCCGTTTCTGTGATCAGGATTCAGGACTATATATTAGTTCTTGTTATTTCCTTGTAGAAGGGATCTGGTAGTCTCCTTTGTGCTTGTAAAAGGCTTTTACTAATTTATCATTCCATGATTCTCTCCTTTAACTAATTTATTGCTGAAATTGGAGTAAATTTTAAGTTCAATGTTGCAATCAAGTTTAGAAAATGGCTGAAATTGAAATTAAAGCTACCAATAAAAGTGACCGTGGAATGGCCATTGGGTTAACAATTAATAAGAAACTTAAGGCCTAATAGAAGTTTGATTGTTTAGGAAATGAGGTGAGTCGTGACACTACCCCTCTTCAATAATCTCTTATGGAAATTTTGTCCAAGTCACTTGTGTACAAGATGACTGATGTCATACGAGTCTCGCACGGTTGTATGCCATACAACTCATGTCATACAACATTGGAAGGTTTCTTTGCCCATGGTAGGTATCTTTGCTCTAACTCACTTCAGAAAACACAAATATCACCAAATGAAAAGTACCATTAACATCAGTGTTAACAAACACTACCAAATAAAAAATATGAAGCCATTTTCTAACCTATTCAATTTCCTGTTTGGTTGCTGAGAAAGTTGGTAGAGAAAATAATCAGATGATTGAATGCTTTTATGTTCATATTCACTTGATTGAATGCTTTTGTGTTCATTTTCACTTGATTGAATGCTTTTAGAAGATTATTATGTTTCATATGTAGTGGATTATATAGTCTAATGGAATTTCATATGAAAGTTGAATATGTTGCACTAAGTTTTCTAATGGGTTTGTTTTGCCTGCCCTTTATATTATTTCAAAATCGTATACGTTCTCTTCCAGTTCCAAAAGGATGATAGAATCACAAAAAGGAGTAATGGCACCAAATGAAACCCTCCAGCCCGCATGGGATTAACCACTCAGACTTGTTCTCCAACCAAACCCAATAAAAAATAGCACTTGAATATGTTGACATTCGGATTTGTTCCAAGTACTTATTGCACCCTATGTAGCGTTATGAGCATTTTAATGTCATTTTTATCACCACAGTTATACAATGAAAACCTCAACTTTTGTTGCTTAAAACATGAAATGACGTTAGTCTACTGGCAAGAGATTGATTGCTAATGTTGGTTGCTTAGTCTTTGTTTGTAGGTATTTCTTTTGTTAATCCTCATTTACTCCATTTATCTCCTTTCGACCTTTCATTTGTTCGTCGCTTGTCATTGTAACTATCCAATTTGTGTTCTGCATGAATTTGATTTCTGAACATTTGTATTAATTTCTTACCTTTTCTTCTTTTAGTTTTCGTTTTGAAAGATATTGAGGATGCATAAAGCAGAGAATTCTGGCTGCTACAGTGCACTTTCGAAACCCAAGACTTGTTCAAAACTTTGCTCGGTATTTTTCTCTATGGTCAATGAAGAAGGACCCATATCTTGAATCTGCTCTGTCTAAAAATCGCAGATGGATAGTGAATAATCAAATAAAAAACATCATCCTTAGGTGCCCTGATCATGTAGCAACAGTGATCTTCATTCAGAAGAAGTTCAAGACCCTTGATCTTCAAGGAAAGGCTCTCAATTGGCTCAAAAAATACTCATGTTGCTTTCAAGTCTATTTGGAAGGCGATGAGTATTACTGCCAGTTAACTAAACAGAGGATTTCATTTTAATAATTTTGATATCCCATAAATGTCAGATTTGCAAAATTTAAAATTTAGAAAGATAAAATGGAAGATTTTTGTACTGTGATCAAGAAATCACAAACCCAAAGGGATTCCTTGGTCATTTTAATTAGTAATAATTAATAATATTGGATACTTGATTACTGTATGCTTTCTTTTGATGAAGTATTCAATGGTCTGATTGTGTATTTTGGGTGGCACCTATAAAGCATGAATATACGGTACGACATGACACGGTGATACATGAAATCTCTAAAAACTAGAATACAATATGTCATGGATAAGGGATACGCGACCAAACTAAAGTATATGTGCTTCATAGGTTGGCACCAGCCCCCTTCTTGTTAGTGATATTAGTTTGATTATTAATGGAAACTGGCACAAAAACTGAATATACAAAAATAAGGGTTGGTTATTCACTTTTGCTTTTTTGGATTCAAAACGTTTTTCGTGCTGGGTTAGCGTCTACCCGAATATGTGGATATACCCAAAACCATTAAAATGTACGATCCTTTCATTATTTTTTCGCTTTTCAGACATGTATGATATTAGTCTTACAAAATTCAGCTATTGAGTTTGTTTTAAAAGTAGATTTCATAGCAAACCCATTCAAAAGGCATCTGTGTTACAAAATAAATAACTGTTTGTTTAGTAAATGACTATGGTTCGTTGTTGTAGGATGGTTGTTTACTTGTCCATTTCATATGTATCGTTCATTAACAATATTTGCTCAGGCATTGTTGTAGTTTGCAAGAATGTGTTTGTTATTTTTTTTGGTCGGAACAAGAATGTGTTGGTTAAGGTTATCTGTCGTCGTGTAAACTTTAAACAATTATGTTTATTTCTATATCTTTTTGTTTACTCTATAAGGGTAGACGATGAACTTGTTGATCAAAAGAAGTATCTTGAGGAGTCTTGCCAGCCTAAATGTGTGAAGCCTCTGATTGAATATCAGGTAATTTACTGGTGTTATTAAAAAAATCTGTGTGTTGCAACTTCTAGTACCAGGAATTGGCCTTCGTATGAACTTAAAGTTGGATCTGATTATTTATTAAAATTACTCGCTTACTTTTAATTTCCTTATTTTGCTTCCCAAGATAGTCATATCTACTTGTTTGTATTATGTTGTGCTTGTACCATTGGCTTTTACCTGTACAGGCTTGTTTCTCTTTACCGATGGGGATTACAAACTAGAAAGGCTTCAAATATATGTTCGCATGTGGTCCGACAAGTTAGAAATGCGTAAGTGTTCTAAGTTTTTCCATTTGTGCAAGCAATTTGGAGATGATATATAAATATCGAATTTAAAGTTAGTAATTGTAAGTTTTTATATGTATATCAGGCTAACATTATAAAGAGTAGTTGTGCAAAGGTTCTAGCATGAAAGAAGATTATCAGATGATCAAGATTCGAATTGTCGTAAATAAGTGATTTAAGCAAGCTTTTTTAACATGTTTTAATTGGGGTTTATTGTGAGATGATGTGTGAATTGCAAAAAAGAGTGAGGCAAGCTAGATATATCGTATGCAATCGAGATTGAAATTTATCTTCAATGAAAGGATATTTCTTTCAGAAAAAAAAAATAAAAGATAGAGAATTCACTTTACAATGTACGTACACTGAGTATCTTCATAAGCTGCTATCTTTTCTCATCCACTAATGAGTAAGTCTGTCTGGGAAGGGACTGCAAAACTGTTTCATTTTCCAATAATGCATATGAAATTAGTTCGAGTGAAAAAAGGGAAAAAGTATAGAACATATACATACTGAAGGATTTTTGTTATTTCTATCAACTCTTACTAGACCATGAAGCCCAGTCAAAATCTATATCACTTGAACCTGTTGACATTTGGAAATACTGTGGAAATTGAATCTTACAATTTTGGAACTTATTGCGCTATATGTAGCTCTGTGAACATTGCAAACTTCTTGCCACAGTTATGCAGTGAAGGCGTGGATTTATAATCAGCAGAATGACTGCCAGCATTGGAAAATCTCTAGCAAATTTAACTATCATGCATCAGTTATTGCTCAACCTTAGAAATTATGTGGATAAAAATGTCTTCCTAACGCTTTGATGTCTACCCGTTATTCACCCTTTTCCCTCCTTCCATGAGTAAGTGCTTTTGACTCTGTGAGTCGTCAATAATTTTGAGTTACAAGATTAAGTTGTTGAACTTTTTCTTCCATTTGTGTTTCCTTCTTCAAAAATTAAAAAGGAAATGGAATGCCATGATAATCGGAGGTCTTCGTTTTGATATACTTCAGCGGGTAGGGGGTTTTCACGTATTGTTTTTAATGGACTAAAATTTGGTAATTGTACTGAAATTATTTGAACCTATTTATTTGTTGTAGGCATGTGTTAAGAGGGTTGAAGGTGATGACACTGGAAACAATCATTGCACAGGGCAGTACTTTGTAAGTTCGTTGTCTGTCATGCTATCCAGTTTGTGGTCTGCATGAATTTGTTCTCCCAAACAGTTGTATTAATTTGTTACCTTTTTTCTTTTAGTTTTCATTTTGAAGGTATTGAGGATACATAAAGAAGAGAAATATGGCTGCTACAGTGCACTTTCGAAACCCAAGACCTGTTCAAAACTTTGCTCGGTATTTTTCTCTATGGTCAATGAAGAAGGACCCATATCTTGAATCTGCTCTGTCTAAAAATCGCAGATGGATAGTGAATAATCAAATAAAAAACATCATCCTTAGGTGCCCTGATCACGTAGCAACAGTGGCCTTCATTCAGAAGAAGTTCAAGACCCTTGATCTTCAAGGAAAGGCTCTCAATTGGCTCAAAAAATACCCATGTTGCTTTCAAGTCTATCTGCAAGGCGATGAGTATTACTGCCAGCTAACTAAACGGATGATTTCTTTGGTAGAAGAAGAAGAATCTGTCAAAGATATGCAGGAACATGTGTTTGTGGAGAGATTAGCAAAGTTGCTTATGATGAGCTCCAATCAAAGACTAAATGTTGTCAAGCTTAATGTACTGAAGCGGAACTTTGGTTTCCCAGATGACTATTTAATTAGACTTGTGCCAAAATATTCTGATGTGTTTCGGATTGTTAATTATAGTGGGCGGCGGAGTTCCATGGAGATTGAGCTAGTGTCTTGGAATCCAGATTTGGCAGTTTCTGCTATAGAAGCTTCAGCTCACAAGCAAGGAACCGAACCATGTTTCACAAGCTCATTGCCTTCAACTTGGATCAAGTCATGGGAAAGATTTCATGAATTTAATGCGACTCGTTATATTTCACCCTACTTGGACTCCAAAGGCTTTGCGGAGGGATCAAAGGAGATGGAGAAGAGGACGGTGGCTTTGGTGCATGAGTTGTTGTCGTTGACTCTATGGAAGAAAGCATCAATTATGAAGCTGGCAAATTTTCGGAGAGAGTTCATTTTGCCGGAGAAATTGAATGTTTTGTTGCTTAAGCACCCTGGCATATTCTATGTCTCAAATAAGTACCAGAACTATACTGTCCTTCTTAGAGAAGCTTATAATGGGCAAGAACTGGTTGATAAAGATCCACTTGTTGTTGTGAAGGAGAAGTTTGGGGAACTTATGCAGGAGGGGCTTCATGAATATAACTGCAGACGTCATTTGGTAAATCTAGAGAAGAAGAAAAAGAGAGGCATGGTTTTGCGTAGATCAAATGAAGACAAGGACGTGAGCTCTGAGAAGTCTGACCTCGAGGATCAGGGTGACAGAGGAGGGTTGTTTGATCCAGAAGAACGAAAGCGATTCTATAAAGTTCTCTTTGATGACGGTGCCCCGTGACAATATCATTCAGCAAGGAAGGAACGAAACTTATCCAACTGCTTTGCAAAGAGGAGGAATCAATATCACCAGAAGATGATGTAGAAAACAAGCAAGCCCACTACGGCCGGACTCCCAGTCCCCACTGCCTCAAGTCAGCAATGGCCATCACCGTCTGTTCATCTGGTTGATATTGTATATAGCCACTATTTTACAATCCTTCCCACAATGGAGACGGCAATTAGATGCAATATCGAATGGCCATGGCGGTGCTTTCTTTGTTCCCTGCATTGTGGGTTTTGCAATTCCGGGTTGGTCGTATAGATGTTGTAATATAACAAGTGTTGCTTTATTGTGCTGGCATTGTGAACTGCAGACGTTCTGGCTGGGAAAGGAGAGCTAGAATCGGTGAAATAACAAAAACTCGTGGAGGATTGGAACTAGGAATTTAGGAGTAAGCTCAAGCTGGCCGAGAAAAAAACTCGAGCAGATGTTGGAGAAAATTTTTCAATATTCAAACGGGTACTCAAGGTGTCATAAAATAAAATGAGTGGAGCGATGTGAAAAAATATATTATTTTCTTCATTTGTATTATGACACCTGTCATAAACTACTAGCATCAATTGAAGACCGGTACTTGAATTTTTTTTTTTTTGCTTTTGGTAGATGTTGGGTCTATCAAGCAACTTGGGGAGGCTTGGTCTTCCTTTATCGCCAAGTTATTCAGACTTTATCTAATGTACTTTTTAAGTAACTAATTATTAGGAGCTGCAAATCAGTAATTCATTGACAAAGTGAAAATAGTTTGTGAAACTTGCAGTACTTAGATTAGAACCAAACAACCAACCACCCAGTTTGGTCCCACTATTGTAAGGGCGGTTTTTACACATCCTAAAAACGAGTTCCACATTTCCCACATCATCAATCTCATGGAGATAGAAGACATAAATTGATATGATTTTGAAACCTCGAGGTGCTATGTGAAAAATTTTAAAACTATGTCACCTGTTATGATAATCACGCTTAAACGTGAAATGCATATAAAATGTAGACCTGAAAGAAAAAAATTTAAAAGAACTAAAATTAGCAGTTGATCACTTGGTACCACGCAACTACAACAACAAAATTTTATCCCTTAACTGAGTTCGGTTTCATGAATCTTAGAACGTCAATACGCTCAATTTTGCACCAAGTCTTATGTTAGCTTCAAATACTCTATGTATTTTCGTAAAGTTTTTTTTTTTTTTTCTTTTTCTTTTCAAGTCTTCCTAGTTCTTCCTCTAACTCTTTTGCCTTGAATCTCTTTTCTCATAATTGTATTTTTTAATCGAAGCATCTATAGGTCTTCAGCTCACTACGGTCTAATAATATTTTTCATCACTTGTGTGTAAGAGGACAAGTTTAACTCTCGTGAATAATAGAATTCTTAAGTTTAATTCTTGTGAATTGTAAATTTGTAACTAAATTATTATAACGAACACCCGCTGTGCTGTATTAAAATCAGCGGTAGGCCCAAGCCCAAAAAGAAGAAGGGTAGAGTGGGCCAAGTTTAAATAGTTGGCAAGTCTTTAGAGACCCATTCAACAGCCCCACAATCTCAGGTAGTGTGGTTCGCAAATTCCAAATTTCAACTTCCATTTCATCTCTCGGTTGTTTGTTTCTCTCTCTTCTGTTGTGAATTACAGCCATTGCACAACGCCGGAGCCGACCTTTCTCCTCGAATCACAAGGTATAATTTCTTCTTCGCGGCCCCCAATTAATTAAATTTGTAAAACACAACTAATTTCATTGGTTATTGTTTTTTATAAATTTAATTAATATATTTTGTTTGATTGTTTTTGTGCAGGAAATCTGAGAGCTTTTTCGGTTCTTCTCAATGTGAGTATTTCTGGGTTTTTAATAATGTTGATATCCCATAAATGTCAGATTTGCAAATTTTAAAAATTTATAAAAATAAAATGGAAGATTTTTGTACTGTGATTCAGAAATCACAAACCCAAAGGGATTCCTTGGTCATTTTAATTAGTAATAATTAATAATATCGGATACTTGATTACTGTATGCTTTCTTTTGATGAAGTATTCAATGGTCAGATTGTGTATTGTGGGTTGGTTGGCACCTATGAAGCATGGATATACGGTACGTCATGGAAAAGGGATACCCGTTCAAAAGGCATCTGTGTTACAAAATAAATACCCGTTTGTTTAGTAAATGACTATGGTTTGTAGTTGTAGAATGGTTGTTCACTTGTCCATTTCATATGTAACGTTCATTAACAATATTTGCTCAGGCATTGTTGTAGTTGCAAGAATGTGTTTGTTTTTTTTTTTTTTGGTCGGAACAAGTATGTGTTGGTTAAGGTTATCTGTCGTCGTGTAAACTTTAAACAATTATGTTTATTTATCTCTCTTTGTTTACTCTATAAGGGCGGATGATGAACTTGTTGATCAAAAGAAGTATCTTGAGGAGTCTTGCCAGCCTAAATGTGTGAAGCCTCTGATTGAATATCAGGTAATTTACTGGTGTTATTCAAAAAATCTGTGTGTTGCAACTTCTAGTACCAGGAATTGGCTTTCGTATGAACTTAAAGTTGGATCTGATTATTTATTAAAATTACTCGCTTACTTTTAGATTCCTTATTTTGCTTCCCAAGATAGTCATATCTACTTGTTTGTATTATGTTGTACTTGTACTGTTGGCTTTTACCTGTACGGGCTTTTTTCTCTTTACCGATGGGGATTACAAACTAGAAAGGCTTCAAATATATGTTCGCATGTGGTCTGACAAGTTAGAAATGGGAAGTGTTCTAAGTTTTTCCATTTGTGGAAGCAATTTGGAGATGATTTATAAATATCAAATTTAAAGTTGGTAATTGTAAGTTGTTATATGTATATCAGGCTAACATTATAAAGAGTAGTTGTGTAACGGTTATAGCATGAAAGAAGACCATCAGATGACCAAGATTCGAATTGTCGTAAATAAGTGATTAAGCAAGCTCTTTTAACATGTTTTAATTGGGGTTCATTGGGAAATGATGTGTGAATTGCAAAAAGAGGGAGACAAGCTAGATATATCGTATGAAATAAAGATTGAAATTTATCTTCAATGAAAGGATATTTCTTTTAGAAATAAAAATAAAAGAGAATTCACTTTACAACATACGTACACTGAGGATCTTCATAAGCTGTAATCTCTTCTCATCCACTAATGAGTAAGCCTGTCCCGGAAGGGACTGCAAAATTGTTTCATTTTCTGATAATGCATATGAAATTAGTTCGAGTGAGAAAAGGGAAAAAGTATGGAACATATACTTACTGAAGGATTTTTGTTATTCCTGAAGGGGTGTGGGTTATGGGTGTTTTTATATTTCGAACTTTACTCAAGGGATTAAGTCTTACCAGACGATGAAGCCCCAATCAAAATCTGTATCACTTGAACCTGTTGACATTTGGATTTACTGTGGAAATTGAATCTTACATTTTGGAACTTATTGCTCTGCATGTAGTTCTATGAACATTGCAAACTTCTTGCCACAGTTATGCAGTGAAGGTGTCTGATTTATAATCAGCAGAATGACCCCCAGCACTGGAAAATCTCTAGCAACTTTAACTATCATGCATCAGTTACTGCTCAATCTTATAAATTATGTGGATAAAAATGTCTTCCTAACGCTTTGATGTCACCCCTTTCCCTCCTTCCATGAATAAGTGCTTTTGACTCCGTGAGTCGTCAATAATTTTGAGTTACAAGATTAAGTTGTTGAACTGTTTCTTCCATTTGTGTTTCCTTCTTCAAAAATTAAAAGGGAAATGGAATGCCATGATAATCCGAGGTCTTCGTTTTGATATACTTCAGTGGTAGGGTGTTGTGAATGGACTTAAATTTGGTAATTGTACTGAAATTGTTTGAACCTTTTTATTTGTTGTAGGCATGTGTTAAGAGGGTTGAAGGTGATGACACTGGAAACAAGCATTGCACAGGGCAGTACTTTGACTACATATCTTGTGTTGACAAATGTGTAAGTCTTCATTTCATTATACTGTAGGAAAATTTTGTTCTCGCTCAGATGATGATCGTTGCCTTCTGCAATGCAGGTTGCGCCAAAGTTATTTCAAAAGCTCAAGTAACGGAGTCAGAGTTCTACGGTCTCCCCATCCTTTAATTGTTACTCTTTTACATTGGATATGAATTTTTAGACCGCGCCATGATGTTTGCCAGTTTTTGTTTCCAGCAACATTATTCAAATCTTGTCGAGAGGTCTTGAAATAGAATAAAAAGAAGACTTTGTGAGTTGGTTAAGAAGGCATGCTGTTTTTGGATTTCATATAGCTAATAAGGTGAATTTTGCTAGTCGAAGTTTAATAGCACGGACCTCTTGTCATCCTCCTATCGACAATTATTGATTGATGGGAGAAGCAGGTATCAGTCGTGCGTGAGCGGATGATGCTATAACACGGTTTATCTTTGTGCGCAATCTGTGATGTATGTCTGCAATATTTTTACAGCCGAGGTTGAAAGTTTTGTATGTCCGTGCAATATGTGATGTATGTCCTTGCAATATTTGCTTCGTCCCCTATACATTCAGCTTCCTTTTTCGAACAAAATGCCGAGTGCTGCCTTGGAATGAAGAGAAACCTAAGTGCAACCGAGTGTATTGTACAAACAATTGCTTTCCACGGCCATGGCGGCGCCGGAACTCTTTGGTGTCGACAATAGTGCAGGGTTTACGTGGTGACTGATAATAATTCTTCTTGGCGTGTTGGAATGATCAATCGATGGCTTTTTCTTTCTTGATAAACATATGACTTATGCTTGGTGGATGAGTTGAAGGATCTGGGCAGCGGGCAGGCATGGGGAGAGGAAAGGGAAGAAGGTGTGCGATGGTTGAATGTTTTTATCATGTTCGAGTTTTAATAATATGTTTTTTCCGATAAAAAAAACATTCATGCCCGAGTTTGAATCTTTTATTTTTTTGTATTTTTCGTTTTACAGATTAAATAAAATAAAATATAGTTTTGTAAGACCAATTCCAACCTTTGATTAAAATCTAAAAATTTAGTCCAAAAAATTTAAGTTTAATTCATTTTTTTTCTTTCAACCTTTTTAGGTTAAAATTGTAGTATGAAATTATTAAATAATAATTTTAAGATAATTTTTTTTTCCTTACAGTAACCTTTTTAAAAAAAATTATGTAGACTATAATTTAATTTTATAAACATTTTAATCTAAAAATATTTAGATTCTGATAAATATTGAAAAATTACTAAACGAACGCCATGAAACTCGTGGAACACTAGGAAAAAAATATAAAAGACATAATAGATTTGTTGTTTACTTACTTTAGCCATTTGATTTAAATTTGGATCATTAGATCTTTTTTTACTATTGGACTTGAGTTTTGAACTAAAATCCTATTTGCGTTGGAACAAGTTTAAAACCTAAAATTTGAGTTTTTACTCTAAAGTAGAGTAGGTTCAAATATAAAAAGCTAAAAGCCGAATTCAGTATTTTCTTGAAAGTTTTTGGACGGATGCCCAAAGTGGTGGAAAATTAAAAAAAGAGCCCACTACAGCAGCTTTTCCAATTTTCTTAGAAACCCAGAAGACAGACTACCGGTACCCAACCCTAGAAACTTTTAAGAGACAAATACGCTTATTTTTCTCGGTCTCTCTCTCCCTCCCCCGGAAACTCTCTGTCTCTCTGTCTCTCTGTCTCTCGATTGTAATCCATTCGAACCCGATCGTTTTCCTCCGCAATCCGTCGATTCTGTTGCTTCTACTCCCTCTACGCCGCCCCAAGTAAGCTCTCTCTCTCTCTCTCTCTCTCTCTCTATCTACACACACATATATGCGTGTGTATATTTTGTTTCGTGTTGGTTTAGGATCAAATTCTTGCGGTACTGCTTTATGGTTGTAAAATCTGGATCTATTTCTTTAGATTTCGAAACATACAATAGCTAAATATGTATGTTTGTGTGTGTATATATACATATGTGTGTATATGTGTGTGATGTGTGTGATGTGTGTTTGTATAATCTGTATTGATTGTGATTCTTGGTTTTGCGATTAGGATTTTGGAAGGGGCTTCGATAATTGTTGAAACAGATTATAATTTGTCGAAACCTTGATGGGTCGGAAGAAGCCGACTGCTCGTGACGATGAGAACCCGCAACCTGCTGCGGGTGCTAAGTCGAAGAAGAAGGCTGTGGTAATCGAAGACGATGAGTATTCTATTGGAACTGAGCTGTCCGAGGAGTCTCAGGTGCAGGAAGAGAAAGTTGCTGTCACTGGAAAGAAGGGCAAAAAGGGTAATTCAAAAGCTTCAAAGAAGGGTAGGGATGAGGACGACCTCGACGATGTGGGAAAGGGGGACGAGGGCGAAGATGAGGTTCCCCAAGTTGCTTTCACTGGAAAGAAGAAGGGAAAGTCGAAGAAGAGTGGTGGGAATAGTGTGGTCAGCGCTTCGAGTTTTGGGCTGCTTGGAGATGAAGAAGACGGTGTTGATGATGAGAAATCTGGGTTAACTGGTAATGATGAGGAGGATGCTCCAGTGGTGAGTTTTTCTGGCAAGAAGAAGGCTTCGAAATCGTCAAAGAAAACTGGTGATAGTTTGTTTACAGGGTCCCCTTTTGATGCGATTGGTGATGAAGGCGATAGTGATGTTGAGGTTGTTGATGGTTCTGTGGGTAAGAGTGAAGAATATGATGATAGTGAGAATGAAGATGAGCCTGTAATTTCTTTTACGGGGAAGAAGAAGCCATCCAAGGGTGGAAAGAAGGGCGGGAGTGTGTTTGCAGCAGCTAGCTTTGATGTTCTCGATGATGCAGATGAGGATAAGGATGAAAAGAAAGATGAGGACGATGAAGTTCTTCAGATTACATTCTCCGGTAAGAAAAAGAAGTCATCAAAGGGTTCAAAGAAGAGCGGTGGTAATTCTTTTAGCTCAGCCCTGCTTGATGAGGGGGATGATGAAGATACTTCAGTATCCGAACCAACTAGAGTTGGTGATCACACAGTTGATGATGAAGATGAATCTGTGATTGCATTCACAGGTAAAAAGAAGTCTTCCAAAAAGAAAGGTAATGATGTTTTTACTGCATTGAGTGAAGATACAGATGTAATTGAACCGGAACAACCAAGTAATCGAAACTAATAAAAGCGAAGCTGATGATTCTAAAACTAACAAGAGTAAAGAGGTTCCAGAAACTTCAAAAAGTAAGAAAAAGAAGAAGAAGAGTGGACGGACTGCTCAAGAAGAAGATGACTTGGATAAAATTCTTGCTGAGCTAGGTGAGGCTCCTACAACATTGACCCCAGCTGAGGCTACTATGAAAGAGGAGAAAGTTGAGGTTCAACCTGATCCGGTTGCCCCGGTTGATGCTTCTGGTGAAAAGGAAGGTGAACAAGAGACTGTGGAGTCTGCTGCCGCCAAGAAGAAGAGAAAGAAGAAGGAGAAGGAAAAGGAGAAAAAGGCAGCAGTGGCAGCGGGGACTGCTACTGCCCCCGTGGTTACTATGGATGATAAACAAGAAGAAACCCAAATTGAACCCACAGACCCCAAGAAGAAAGAAGTGAAAGGTAAAGTAGCAGATAAGAAACTTCCAAAACATGTGAGGGAGATGCAAGAGGCTCTTGCTAGGCGACAGGAACTAGAAGAGAGATTGAAAAGGGAAGCAGAGGAGAAACAGAGGAAAGAAGAAGAGGAGCGGCGTAAGCAGGAAGAACTTGAGAGGGAAAAGGAGGCGGCCAGGATTCTGAAAAAGGAAAGGGAAAAGGAGAAGCTACAAAGGAAGAGACAGGAAGGCAAGATTTTAACTGCGAAGCAAAAAGAAGAACAACGCAGGCGGGAGGCAATGAGAAACCAGATACTTGCTAATGCTGGGGTTTGCCTCTCCCTACCACAGACAATGAGAAAAAGGCTAAACGGCCTATGTATCAGAAAAAGAAGACAAAAGCAGCACCCATTCATGCAAATGGTGCAGCTTCTGCGAAGCCAGTGGAAAACCTAGAAGAGGGAGACCAGCAGGACACTATCCCCGAGCCAGAGTCTGGGGAATTTGACAGGTTGAAGATGCAGAGTCACTGGATCTGGAGGATAAATCTGAAGTTGCTGAATCTGTTAAGAGAATGGAGTGGAAGAAGAAGAAGAAGAAGAAGATGACGATGATGATCCTTGGGATGTTAAGAGCTTTGATGATGTTAACCTTTCTGTTAAACGTGGATTTTCTGATGAAGAGATTGACTCTGAGCCTGAACCTGTTGCAAAAAAAGACATAAAGAGTTCAGGTGCCAAGCCATCAGTTTCTGCTCAGAAAACCGTTCCTTCTCAACCAATAAAATCTCAGGATGGTGAGGATAAGAAAAAACAACCTGATAATGACGTTGACAAAAGTAAGAAGAAAAGCGTTTCTGTTAAAAAAGAAGCGCCAACTTCTAATGCTGACCCCAAAGAGAGTGGAGATAACCTTCGTTCACCTATTTGTTGCATTATGGGCCATGTTGATACTGGTAAAACTAAGCTGCTGGATTGTATCAGAGGCACAAATGTTCAGGAAGGTGAGGCTGGAGGTATTACTCAGCAGATTGGAGCAACATATTTTCCTGCTGAGAACATTCGTGAGAGGACTAAAGAACTGAAAGCTGATGCGAAGCTGAAGGTCCCTGGTCTGTTGGTCATTGATACCCCCGGGCATGAGTCATTCACTAATTTACGGTCACGGGGCTCAGGTTTATGTGATATTGCTATATTGGTTGTTGACATTATGCATGGCTTAGAGCCTCAGACAATAGAGTCACTCAACCTTTTGAAAATGAGGAATACGGAATTTATTGTTGCACTAAATAAGGTGAGGTTTATGGTCAATTCTACCTGTCCAGATCTCTACTACTGTCGGCTCATAAATGTTTAATTTTTGTTTTCTGGAATTCAAATTGTTAGGTGGACAGACTCTACGGGTGGAAAACCTGCCGCAATGCACCAATTGTGAAAGCAATGAAGCAACAATCTAAGGATGTACAAAATGAGTTCAATATGAGGCTTGTACAGGTCTTGTGTGCTGCAACTTTGTCTTTAGTTCACTTTATATGTTTGACCTTCGGTGTTTCTAAAATTTCAATTGTTTGTATGGTTTGCCAGATTATCACTCAATTCAAGGAGCAGGGTTTAAATACTGAATTGTATTATAAGAATAAAGAAATGGGGGAAACCTACAGTATTATTCCTACAAGTGCCATTAGGTATGGCTTGTGGAATAACCTTATCTTTTAAGTTTTAGTCTCTACTGCAGAGGTTTTTTTAGCAATTTGCTCTCCACTATGTCTTGAAATATGGGTTTTGAATATCGCAGTGGTGAAGGAATTCCAGATTTGCTATTACTATTGGTTCAGTGGACGCAGAAAACTATGGTTGAGAAACTCACTTTCAGCAATGAAATCCAGGTTTAATATATTTTCACCTTGTCTCCAGTAATGTAAAGGTGCTTAACTGTTTATATGTGAGTTGATGGGGGGCTGTTCTTGTGAACCAGTGTACGGTTTTGGAGGTTAAGGTTGTGGAAGGCCTTGGGACAACAATTGATGTTGTATTGGTTAATGGTGTGCTTCATGAAGGAGATCAAATAGTGGTTTGCGGCATGCAGGCAAGAATCTAAAACCTTTTCTGTGACAATTTTTGTAAAGTCTGACTATTATAAAACTATTTTTAATATTTGCTTTAGAATTGCTGGCAAATGATTGTAGGTAACATGTGATGTATTTTACACGTAATTATTATTATTGATATCAATTTTTGTCTCTTTTAGGGACCTATTGTTGCTACAATTCGATCTTTATTGACTCCACATCCAATGAAAGAACTTCGTGTGAAGGTAGGTTTTTTTCTTTTCTTTTCAACTTTTTTCTGCTTTTTGTCATGCATTTACAATTAGCTATTTAGTGATTCTGGTGTGAGAATGAAATCTGTTGCTCCCAGTGAAAGTCCACTGAAGAGCAAGTAGAACAGCATAAAGTGCTACATGCACATATTAGCGGTTCGCTGATCATGTGTTAAAAAAAGGGAATATATTGATATTATCATAAAATAGAAGGTTCAAAATTTGATATAGGCGAACAAGTAAGACACGAGGTACAGGTAAATCCCGGACATCTAAAGAAACAGCAGCCAAACTATTCTGGTGAATCCAAATACATCTCATGTAACATCAGCCAACATATCTGTGAAAAACTCGGTGGAAAGTGAAGCCCACAAGATGCCAAAGTGATTCCTACCCCACAATGGATCTGATTCATGGTGCATGCACCTCTAAAAATGTCCTGTTCCTAGGTATTGCCATTGGGTGCATTTCCAAAAAACAGTAACAATGCTTAGTTTCAGGTTCAGGTTAAATTGTTTGCCTACGATAGTGCTCCTTATGATTTAAGTGCCTGCAGTGCTGCGTTGCTTTGGACTTTTCTGTGTGATTACAAGCATTGCATTGTTCCTCAATGCTGGTTTGATTTTTTATTTTATTTTTTGTTTTCTTTTTCATTTTCATTTTTCTTTTTGTAATTTAAAAAATGCTTTTAGAGAAGAGTGGCGCTATTCCCACACCACATTTCCTATTTTCACTCTACATTTGAATATTATTTATCCCAAATGGACCTGTACATAATAGTACTTTAAAGGGAGAAAATAAAATATGTAAAATTACATAACACAAAAAATGGAAGGAAACAAAGATATTGAGGCTAATATGACTGCTAATGGAACCACGTAGTTTTGTAGAAGAGTGGAAGAGAGCCGAAACTGATGTTTGAATGCTCCTTTTCTATTATAGACAAGTAATGTAAAGAAAAATGGAATTAAGTAATAGCTACAGAAGTAAAGTAGGCATGTTTGGCTGAATTAAGTAATAGCTATAGGAGGGAAGTCCAGCCTGTCCAGAATTGGACCTGCCTGATTCATAAATATCTTTTTTAAACTTGATGGGGGTGAGAAAGGAGGTGAGGGCATTTTGGCAATGCAAATAGTAGACTTGATATCTTATAAAACTTGAGGGGGGTTAAAAAATATGGAGGGTGGGTTCAGTGCCATTTTCGGATAATTATTCTTGATAAACTAGATTAGGTCAAAATGATGTTTGTAGGAATCTGTACGTAGTTTGGATAATGGTTCATTTCGGATTCCAGTTCTGATAACTATTGAATACATTTGGTTTATCAAATATTCGATTTCTTTTCGTTGTGCAATCCAATTCAGTGGGATCTAAGGTTCACTTTTTTTTTTTGTCCATAAACAACATTCCATGTTGGCATCAGATGACGATTCTATGGATCTTTATTTCAGGGAGCGTATCTGCATCATAGTGAAATCAAGGCTGCACAGGGTATCAAAATTGCAGCACAGGTAAATTTATGTTGAAATCAAGGCCAATCCAGTTCTACCTATCTGAACTCCTGTTGTGAGATTTTCTTGATTTTTGATGTTTGTTTTATGAAGGGTCTTGAACACGCTATTGCTGGTACTGCCCTACATGTGGTAGGGCCTCATGATGACTTGGAGGATATCAAGGAAACAGCTATGGAAGACATGAAGTCAGTTTTGAATAGAATTGACAAGACTGGTGAGGGAGTTTGCGTACAAGCATCCACTCTAGGTTCCTTGGAAGCATTGCTAGAGTTTTTGAAAACACCAGCTGTAAACATTCCTGTTAGTGGTATTAGCATAGGCCCTGTACACAAAAAGGATGTCATGAAGGCCAGTGTAATGCTTGAAAAGAAAAAGGAGTTTGCCACCATCTTGGCATTTGATGTCAAAGTTACACCAGAGGCCCGAGAAATGGCAGACGATTTAGGTGTGAAGATTTTTATTGCTGATATCATCTATCACTTGTTCGATCAATTTAAGGCATATATTGACAATATTAAGGAGGAAAAGAAGAAGGAATCTGCTGATGAAGCTGTCTTTCCTTGCGTGCTCAAGATTATGCCCAACTGTGTTTTCAACAAGAAGGATCCAATTATCTTGGGGGTTGACGTTCTCGATGGCATTTTGAAGGTATTATTATATGGACTCCATTTGGTTTACCCAGCTCTTTAGTGGGATATGATTGTTTACCATCTTAATTTGTCTCTCCTTTTTATTTTCTCTTAAAAGTTCTTTATTAATTCTTTTGTTTGGATACTTAACATTTAAAATATCTGATAAGAGACTTAAAATGGAATGTTGCCGCAAGTAGAAGGATTCTGTAATTTTCAAGGAGTTAGTAGGGTTGTTGGATGTATAACGTAGGCAGTGGAAACAGTTTATTTGAAAAAACTGTGACAAAGTGTTCCCCAGGAACCTGCTAAGGTTCCCTAGGAACTGCTAAAGCCTAAAGATGTAACTCTGGTAGTCTGGTAGATTGATTTAAAGGATTTGCAGTGTTAGCTTGCTCAGTTTTTCTAATCTTCCTTACCTTCATCATATGAATACTAGTTCTTTAATAGTGTCTAATAAATGTTTGCTAGATCTGTTTTTTGTTTAATATGAATGAGTCCAACTCCGGCTATGTCTGATTTTTTTTTCTGATTTTTTCCTACACCTTTCAAAGTGTTGTATTGTATCAATTAAATGTTTGTTAATTAAGTTCAGCTTCGATTGAACTACAATCCCATGAAAATTAGGTATACTGGCTAAAAATTCTTATTATTTTTATTATATGCTCTTTGCAGGTGGGTACTCCAATTTGTATTCCTCAAAGGGATTTTATTTCTATTGGGCGCATTGCATCCATTGAAAATAACCACAAACCTGTTGATATGGCGAAGAAGGGGTCGAAATTAGCCATTAAGGTATGAATGTATGATAACGCTTGACATATATATGTGCGGACACACCACACGTGTTGCTAGTCGGTGTTGCATTTCTGCAACCTTTGATGTTTGTTTCTGCTTCTTTTTTTTGTCGTGGGTAAATCTGTCCTGTCAAAATGGCTTATATCCATCATTTATGATTAGTGTGTTGTAGATACTTGGGCTTTTGTTAGATCAATGACTTTTTGTATGAGAAATGTCTAAGCAATGCTGAACACCGTTTGATATTAGCTATCATTACAAGTGTAAGTGCTATTGACGGATTTTACTATAAATTTTTAAGGAACTGCGCACACATTTTTTATGTAATATAAATTCTTTCACAGGGTTCAGGAGTCGTTTAATAGAATCTTTGTAATTTGACTTAATTCCCATGGGTCTATAGTTGTGAAATAACATTGCCTTTTAGCCATATGTGTTGGGAGGAAAAGGATGATAGAATTTGTAGGCATCAGTAAAAACTCTCCTATGAGGTTCATGTCCTTTGAGGTTTGATTCCTACGTTGTTAATTGATATTTGAATCCAACGGTGATCTGGTTCTTACCTACTATTGTTTTCCTCGGTGATTGTGACTAGCTGATTGTGTGCTAATTTTGTCATCTGGATTGGCTTTGTTATTGCGGTTGTGATCTTGCCTTTAGTTTGTTTGATTGCTTTTTGTTTTTTGTTTTTTGTTTTTTTTTTTTTCTTTTCTAGCTGACCATTTCTTAGTACTGTTGGTCTTGGCTTTCCCTGTGTTTTGTAGCTGATCATTTGGAGTTTGTTGTGTTTCTTCTGATTTTTCTCTTACTCTCTCTCTCCAACTTAATTCTTTGTAATGCTGAAAAGAAACCTCTACACTTAATTGTCCTTATGCTTATTGCAGCTTTCTTCTTGTGTTTTTGCAGATTATTGGGTCAAATTCCGAAGAACAGCAAAAGATGTTTGGTAGGCATTTTGAGATTGATGATGAACTTGTCAGCCAAATCTCAAGGAATTCGATTGATGTACTTAAAGCGAATTACCGAGTAAGTTTCATTTTCTCATACAGTTTACCTTTTGGACGATGTAATGTGAACCATCATTATTAACTGTAATTTAAATATTCAGGATGAACTGTCAATGGACGAGTGGAAGCTGCTTGTGAAATTGAAGAAACTTTTCGAGATTCCATGAGAAAAGCTAGTGCTATATATCTGAGCAAATTCTTTTTTTGCACGACACTCGGAGGCTTTACTGACTTCAGCTGCAATCAGAAAGGATACCAAGGTTCGTTGCGGATCTATTTTTGATCGTAAGCGGCACAAATACCTTTGGGCACTTAAATTCAAGGCAATCATATGTGAAGGGGGAGAAAAAGTTCCGGTTAGCGTTTCCATGAGGTCATTTTTCCAAGAGTCCGCATTGCATTTTTTGTCCATGTAGCGTCGATACCTTCTTTAGCCACTTTGAACTTTAGTTTCTCTAGAGTTTATGATACCACCCTATGCCGTGGCAAGTTGATCCAAGTTGATATTGATGGAAGAAAATATGTTTTGGCCTCACGCGACCGCTGCTTTGGATGAGTAACGGTTGATTTGTCATGCCGAAACAGTTTTGTTCAGTCCTCTTGGATAACCCGACAGGAATGATCTGAATTCGACATTAAAGCTGTAAGGTTGTAGGCACGTATGTATGTTATCGTTGTTTTGCTAACGGTATAATACAAGGAAACGTCAAATAGAAATTACTCTCTTGGTGCCCTCATTGATTTCTCGATGGTTCGATCATGAGGACCTCAACGTTTTTGCCTCTGTACGCGAATGGCCATACTTTGGAAGGGAAATGCCAAGAAAACTCTCTCAAAGGGGACTTTACATGAACTTTCTGTCACCTTATCATTTTGCATTATGTTTTATAATGTTGTCATGGGAAACACGAGGTGACGGAAAATACATGGAGTCTTAGCATTTCTTGACTCTAGAATACTGCAGCTTTGTTCTAGAGTGTTTTAACCCTCGGTGCTTCCTTGAATGCTTTACTTCCATACTTGAATACTAGAAAGTGTAGTATGTGTTGGTCAAAAACATAATTAGGGGTGCAAATTGATATGGTGTTTCTCAGTTTGACGTTAACATCTTATGAATTTATGCATTCGAACCTGAATTTTTTTTTTTTTTTTTTAAATCTGAATATTTTCAAAAAATTGAAATGTCGTGCATTTAGACATTTCAAGAAGTCTTTGAAGTGTTCAGAATGTATTCTGCTAGTTTGTTTTCTGAAATATTCTAGCTTTATTATAGTTATTTGCCAAAATTATTTATTGGAAAGTTTTGTAGTTTATTGTTAGTTTTTAATACCTTTTATTCATTATTTTTATGTTAATTATATAATAAAAATAATTGAATTTATACGTAGGTTTATCCCAAATATTAAAAAATAAAATAAATTGTATGTACGGAAAAGTTTGAGAATACTAAAATCTTGTAAATAGATGAATTTCAAAAATTTCAAGATTATTATGATTTCAAAAATTTTGAATTTGAAAATTCTGATCTCATCCGATTTTGAAATTTTGGAATAAAATTAAGGGAACTTTAACGAAAAGCTTTCGGTATTGTTCACTTTAACAAAAAACCACATTTTTATACTAAAAAGTCAATCCTGGTACTATTCATTTTACCCTTTATTTTGTCCTTATCAAAACTCAAAGTTTTCAATCCTTTTTTCATTAGTTTTCCTTAAAATTAAAAGGCTTTGTTTCCAATTCGATCCGTCCCAAAATCATTTCTAAACATAATGGATAAACCACATGGTGTGACTGTTGATGTGGCAACATGAAGAGAGATTTCAACTTAAATTTCTTCTTATATTTAACGATTGATTCTATCTAGCTAATTATCTAGTGTAATTGGCTACCATCTTAATGAGTTTAATTAAGCTCCTTGCAAATTGATACCATGAATTGTTACTTAGAGGTAGATGCCATCCATGCTTTAGGATTCATGTACGATATAAGGGTGAATTGGATACTCTAATATTTTGTTTAGCTAATATAGAGTTGCAGTTGAACTTAAGTCTAACGGTAAGAATTAGATCAACTTCTTTGGAACGATATATATTATGAGCTTATTCTGTAACTATCTTAACATCTGTATACCTGCGATGACAAATATTATTTTATTTTGGTCTCTTTTGGGGACCTATCAATCGTTGCTAATATTGTTAAGCTTTGTTCTTCAGTTTCTGTTTAAGTTCTTCGAATTATAGTTCTATGGTGTAATAGACGGCTAGGATTATAACATCTCAAGAGTGTATAGTGTGCCAGCTGCCATGCGAGCAAAGAATTCTTGACTCGTGTAGAGCGTGTGAAGCTCCAATGGGTCATCTTTGTTTTCCTTGCTTCTCGGATCTGTTTTTCACACTTAAGAGTGTTTGTAATCGATTTCAGTCAATGAAACTGTCGGAGCAATGTATTCCATTCTTCTTCCTCCTTGAGAACTCTGTGATTTCTTACTAAAATTAATCAATCAATTCATCATTCAAACAACCAACATAAAGAAGTGATTTATTCTCACCATTTTTTCTCTTTATGCACATTTTAATATTTTTATTTTAAATTGAATAACTTAAAAAGAAATTAAGGGAAATAAAAAGATAGATGCATGAGGAGTGAAGTGTACGAAATTACTTCTCATACTAAAATAAATTTTTGATTGTGCCTGGAATACGATGGTACATCATGTATTTTTATATAAGTGGTGAGAAATTGTATTTTTTAAATTATTAACTTTTTAACACACCTATCTCACAATTTGTATAATGATATGTGGTGTACCACTCTGTGTTCCGATCACATTGAAAAATATCTCCTCATACTACAAATATGCGTTTCATTTCTTTAAGAAGTTACATCTCACTCCCTACGAACATCTTATCTTTCATTACACAAAACCCAACAGGGAAAAAAAAAAAAAATAAGAACCAAAAAAAAAAAAAAAAAAAAAAAACGAAAAATCTTGTAGGACAATATTAATGGGCGTTAGATCAAAGCGTCTCATAGCCCACTTGAGCCAATCAACTTGGTTAACCCAAAGGTAATAGCCATGGCCATCCAACCTCCAACCAAAACCCTCATCACTGATCTCATAACTGGTGCCTTCCCCAACTTAGCCCCCAACCACCCAAACACCACCAAAGCCAAGCTCACAGCCGCGGCCACAACTCCTAACCTCACCTTATACCCCCTTATAAACGATGCTGCTAGCAATGGGACCATTGCTCCCACTGAAAACGCCAGTGCTGATGCAGCTGCTGCTTGTAAAGGGTTGGGCAGACTCTCCTCATCATCTCCATCGCCGCCATCATCTTCTTCCACGTGTACTTCTTGGTTCTTTTTCTTTTTCTGATCGTCCCTTTTCATTTGAGCCACCTCTATGTCCAGCTGGGAGTACACGGAGACAAACTCTCCAATGGCCATGCTACATGCCCCAGCTACTAGTCCGGCGAACCCGGATAGTATCATGGCCTTAAAGTCTTGTCTCACAGCTCCAACTCCCATCATTAACGACGCAGTTGAGATTAATCCATCGTTGGCACCTAGGACGGCGGCGCGGAGCCATTGGGAGCGTTTGGAGTAGTCAAACTCCTTTTGGTCTAGGGTTGTTTGGTGCTCGAGGTCGTTTGTGGTCATTGGGATGGCACACTTGCCTTCACTTAGGGATGATTGGCTGTTTGGCGCCATGGAAAAATTAACGGGAGAAGCGGATAATGAGGAATTAGGGTTTATGGGTGTGTTGTGGACTGAGGAAGAGAGTAGAGAGATATTGGAGAAGTGTGGAGGACACATGCACGCTCTCAACAAGGGTATTTATGGAGGGAGAAGTTCAATCATGGAGGCAAAGGTGGGTACACTAATTGAAAAAAGAATTGAAAAAAGCAGTGTGTGTTTACCTAGTGCTATTGCTTTCGTTATATAAGCTACCACTATAAACATTTCTTTGCTTCATTTTAATATAAATAGAAGAAGATGAATACTTCAGATTTAGGAATAAATATTAATATAAGAAGATGAGTTTATAATTTGACTAATTTCACCAAAAAATTATATATAGGGCGGGAAACAAACTCTTTTCGAAAGAAAATATAATTTAAAAGCAGATGGGATACATATGTCTCTAAATTTCCTTGTTCTGTAATACGAGTTATGATGCTTAAATTCCTGACAATATGACTGATTTCAAACTATTGAAAGCAAATAAAATCGGGATTACTTGCACCGCATGCATGATCTTGAAGCTTGATCTCGACCGACTTTGCCTCTAACGCAATTGTACAATAAGCTTCAAATATCTGAGATTAAGACGGAAAAATTGGCGATTAGAGCTAACAGTACAACGTAATCAGCAGACCGGAAGAGATTAGTGATGAGGAAGAAGAACAACACAAAAAACAAACAACTTTACCAACATCAAATTTTAAGAGGAAGCGTAAGACTTCCAAGGCAGTTACACCGGAAACAAGTCCACATGCAAAGCATGACACTATCAAACAAAGACAAAAAAGAGGCAACACAAATCCTGATTAACCTTTTTTACTTTACAAATATGAAAACAGAAGCAATAATTCAGGCTTTCCCTTCCCTTTATCTCCTTTTCTATTTCTTTCGGTTATGTTATTTCTGTTATTACTATTATTATTTTGTTTAATTATATAGCTTCTTTTCATGCATGTAGCTTAGCCCGTTCATGGGCATGCATAAGCACAACTACGTATACCTTCTTATTTGGTGCGATGTTGAAGTATATGCTGTAATCACCAAAATCTGTGCCAGAAAGAAAAAAGAAGGTCCAATTTGTAACCAAAATTTGTGCCAACAAGAAAAAGGACCTAAATCACCTGATTCCATGTGCATGCATATGAAACAAATTAGAGTGAACTACCGTGTAATGTTCTCTTAGTAAACTGTTCGAATGATTTGATATGATTATCGATCTGGAATCTCCGTTGAGCTGCCATACGGATCCAGTGTAATCAGAAATCATCAAGCTATAAGTTCTCTGTCAATCCTTTGGTGGGAATTCTTTTAATAAAATTCTCTAGTAGTATCATGGCGTTGCAAGAGGTTTCAAAGTCGGGATAACTCTCCGTTTTGATAAATAAAATATGGTGAAGACCTAGCTATAAATCTTGGGGTCGGTTTTCAATCATGCATGCCACAATACACCAACTTAAATATTAAGTACAAGGACTCGTCCTGGAATGGACTTTTAGTACTGGTGAATCACACGATGATAGTAAGAGGAAAACTCAAATACATCTGTGAGTTTTTCTATCTTCCAAAATAGTGGACTACGGTGATTTCGTCGTTAACTGGTCCCCTTTTTAAAAAAAAAATTACGAGGGTTTGGACCTTCATATATCTTTTAGGTCAGAATTTACTAAATTTTGATAAATAAAAAACCTACTAAAATGATCAACAATGGATTGCTGAGGAAGAAAGCACCGAGTGTGGAAAAGCAAGAGTGGGGATTAGATAATTTAAGAAAAAGGAAGACCTTCTTGATTTTATATTCAGTCAAAAAAACGAATTAGGGTTTCCTTTATCTTCTCGCCCTTTCTTTTCAGCGTCCCACACACTCCCACTCAAATCACTGATTGTTTTTTTGATAATGTGAAGACCAAAATTTTAAATTAAATTTTGTAAATCAAATGATGTGGTTGTTGATGATTGGATTATTACTCAAGTATTGATTAACGTGCTTATT